GAGCTCAGCTCTTCTCTCCTCCAAAGCTAGTGTTCCTCATCCCTGAGCAGAGCTAATAAGACAGCCCAGGGGTTAATCCATGATTTAGTCTCCCCTGTCACTTTCAATTTAGTTAGCTGGGCTGGAGTGGCCTGAGGAGGAGCAGTAATGGGCTCGGGGAGGGGGAGCTGGGAGGGGCAGGAGCCTGAGGTCACCTGACTTGGGTTGGAAGCCTTGGCACCGCCAGGACCAGCTGTGGAACACTGGGCGACTTAGGCACTTAGTCCAGCCTACGTTTCATCACCTGAAAAACAAGGACACCACCACCCACCCTGGAAAACTGCTGGAAAGACTGTCCTCCAAAGCAAGGGCCAGCAGCTCTGGGCAGGCCCGGCACCCACCACTGCTGTGCCACTTAGTCTTGGGTTTTTGGGGTTTTTTTTTTTTTAAGATTTATTTATTGATTTGAAAGGCAAAGCTGCAGAGAGGCAGAGGTAGAGAGACAGAGACAAAGAGAGTTCTTTCATCTGCTAGTTCACTCCCCAGGTGGCCGCAACAGCCAGAGGTGGGCCAGTCTGAAACTCTGAAACTAGGAGCTTTCTCCAGGTCTCCCACACCATTGCAGGGGCCCCCGTGCCTGGGCCATCTTCTCCAGCTTTCCCAGGTCATAGCAGAGAGCAGGATCAGAAGTGAGGACACAGAACTTCCAAACAAAGCTCAGGTTTCAAAACAAGAGGTAAATTAACCCTGAAAAAGTGTGCTCTTTCAGTCAAAGAAGAAAAGCTATTCTACATTTCAAAGGCATCTAAGGATATTTCTGAGAATGGCAAGGTTCTGTGGAATCTGGATTCCAAGATTTGCATTCCAAGCTTTTACATATGTGCTTTAAAAGGGCCCTGATGCTGGTGCTGAGGCGTAGCGGGTAAAAACCGCGGCATCCCGTAAGAGCGTCAATTCGAGTACCAGCTGCTCCACTTCCGATCCAGCTCTCTGTTATAGCCAGGGAAAGCACTAGTAGCTGGCCCAAGTCCTTGGGCCCCTGCGCCCACACAAGGGACCCTCAAGAAACTCCTGGCTCCTGGCTTCGGATTGGAGCAGCTCCGCCGTTGCAGCCAACTGGGGTGTGAACCAGCAGAGTGAAGACTTTTCTCTCTGCCTCTCCTTCTCTGTGTAACTCTGACTTTCAAATAAATAAAATAAATCTTTAAAAAAAAAAAAAAAAAAAGGCCCTGGTCGGCGCTGTGGCTCACTAGGCCAATCCTCCGTCTGCGGCGCTGGCGCCCCAGGTTCTAGTCCCGGTTGCACAGTCCAGCTCTGCTGTGGCCCAGGAAGGCAGTGGAAGATGGCCCAGGTCCTTGAGTCCGTGCACCCATGTGGGAGACCAGGAGGAAGCACCTGGCTCCTGACTTCGGATCAGCGCAGCTCCGGCAGAGGGGCCATTTGGGGGGTGAACCAACAGAAGGAAAACCTTTCTCTCTGTCTCTCTTCCTCAGTGTCTAACTCTATCTGTCAAATAAAAAAAAATAATTTTCAAGAAAAAAAAAAGGCCCTGATGCAGACACTGTGCTGGACAGGTTAGCTACAAGAATTATTCCAAAGAATTAAGGAGCTCCTAATAGAGGCTCCAACACTGGGAATTGCTGATGACAGGATTCCATGGAAAACAGACTCCAGGGTTTGGATTCTAAGCTTTAAAAGGCCCCTGACACAGACGCACTGTGCTGGACAGGGGAGCTCCAGCACTTGGGCCATTTTCTGCTCGGGAATTAAGGAGCTTTTAACAAAAGCTCCAACGCTAGGAATTGCTGAGCAAGCCATTCACAGCAAGATCCTCTTCAGATCAGCTGCAGCCTAAATGGAAGGGGTCTCTTAGCAGGTGCTACCTCAGTGAAATTGGGATTCACCTTCACAGGTGAATTCCAAAGACACGCCTGATTCTTCCTGTCAGCCAATCAGAGATCTGCAGTCAAAGATGAGTAAATCCTTTGCCTTCCCGACATCAAGACTGCTGTACCTCAAGGCAGCCATGCTGTGCCTGCCTCCTCTTTTGATTCTGAGAACTGTTACTGACAATAAAACCCCTAATGGCTCTTCTATTATAATTCTCTATGCTCAAGCTAAATAAATGGGCTTATAATCTACATAAGGGTAGCCGATCCCCGCCCACCATCTGGGAGTCAGTAAGATAAGTTCTTTCCATCCGATGGGGCATTCTACTTGCAATTAGTCTTGTTCCAGTTTTGCTTATGCTAATTAATACACACATGTTTCAGAACTCGACATCTGAGAATAACTGACCATACAGGGGACACAGCCATTGGTGGTGACCAAGACTGCTCCAGCTCACAAAGCAAATTTGTTAGAGGAGATAGGCAGAGACCTCCAGACCCAGGACAGGCAGGGCCTGCACTGTACACCTCCCACCCCCAAGCAGGAAGCAGCTACAGACGATGTGATGATTCTACACCTTTCAACATCCCTTAGGATTAAGGAAACGGAGTCTCTGAGGGGGGAATGTTGTAGGCCAGCATATAGGACAAAATGAATCAGGTCTGTGAGCTGGAAGACCATGCCCCTTTGTGACCTCATGCCCCTACCTGACCACACCTGTGTGCCTACCTGCCAATCAGACTAGTTAACCACTCCCCTTTGGAAGTGGATTAAAGGCCTGGAACACGGTGGGCCCGGCCCCTTTTTTCCTTTTGCCCATTTTGCCCTGAATCCCCTTGCTGCCCCCCACCCCCGACCTCAGGCCACCCACCCCATGCTTTCTGGCACACATGCTCCTCCACGTGGCTGGCTCCTGGTGCTCAGTATGAATCCAGATTTCCCCTTTCTTGGATAGTGCCCTCACTCAGCTATGCATTTCTCTCACTGCATGAAAAGCTTAAAAACTTAAAAAAAAAAAAAAAAAAAAAGTGATGCAGCCGGGACTCAAACCAGCACCTTTACAGGATGCCAGCCAGCACTGCAGGCTGCGGCCTCACCGCTACGCCACAGTGTGGACCCCAGGTCCTGTTTTCACCCTTATTTTACAGAAGCTCAGAGGCCCTGGAGAGCTCCTGGGTGCCGCGTCCCTGAGCTGCGATTTCCACTCCGTCACCTGACTCTGGAGCCGAGTCCCAACCTCTGCAGGCAGGTCCTGATGCAGCAGGCAGGAGGACAGGAGCAAGGGCCTCTTCCATGCAATCCTTCACCTCCCCCTCCTGAGGATTTTTGAAAACGCTCACTAGGGGGCTGGCGTTGTGGCGTAGGGGTAAAGCCGCTGCCTGCAGTGCCAGCATCCTGTACGTCTCCACTTACATGCAGCCTTCTACTATGGCCTGGGAAAGCAGTGGAAGATGGACCAAGTGCTTGGGCCCCTGCACCCGCATGGGAGACCCAGAAGCTCCTGGCTTCAGATTGGCACAGCTCCAGCCATTGCAGCCATCTGGGGAGTGAACCAGCGGATGGAAGACCTCTCTGCCTCTACTTCTCTAATTCTGTCTTTCAAATAGACAAATCTTTAAAAACAAAAAGAAAAAACTCACTAGAAGGCAAGGTTTGAATCAGCCAAGGACTATGTGGACTACATGGCAGGCAGTGAATGGTTAACTGACACCGCTCACAATGAGGACAATGAGGCCTGTGGCGGCCACCCAGGGGCTAAGCTAGTCTGGTCTGTCCTCTGCTTCTAACTGGCAGGAGGCCACCAAGCACATTCTGGTCAGCAGAAAACAGCCAGACTGCCCATCCCTTCATCCGTCTTTCCCACAGGCAGGTGCAGACCTCATGCTCAGACAGCAGGGAACGTCAGTGATGCCTTGCATCTCTCATTATCAGAGCCAAGTAACAAAGACAAGAATTCCAGTCGGGATGGGAACACAAAGAGCCATCCCTCTAAGGCCAGCAGGTCAGAGCCCTAAGGGAGGATGAGAGGGAAGAGGCTAAACAGCAGGAGCATCCTGGGGCAAGGAAGGCAAAGGGTTAAACTCATTAGGAGTCAGGAGCTGAAGCACCTGCTACAAACCAAGTCTCCACGTCTGGTCTCTCTGACTGCTGTTAACAATGCCCTGGAGAGATGAGATCCCCCACCACCCCCTCTTACAGATGGCAAACAGGCTCCACGGGAACGCTCCCAAGGTCACTCGAGACTTGCCGTGGCAGCTGACTCCAGAGCCAGGGTTACCTGTGCCTGAACCAAGGGTTTGCGGAGGGGAGGGGAGGGGAAGGGGAGAGAAGAGAGGGGAGAAGGGAGGAGAAGGGAGGGGAGGGAAGAAGGAAGGGAAGAGGAGAAGGGGGGGGAGAGGAGAAGGGGGGAGGGCAGGGCAGGGCAGGGGAGGCACCTGGGGCCTGGCAGAGACGCCTGCTCCAGACACAGGGAGGGCTGACCTGCTGGAGAAGACGCAGCACACCACAGCCCCACCCCCCACCTTTCTCCACACTAACACTGACATCACCGTGACAGCGCGGCTTCAGGAACTCGGGGTGGCAAAGACCCTGCCCCAGAAGGGGTTGGGGAATAACACACTTCCAAGCTTCAGATTGACAGCCCATCACAGGAAATGGTTTCCAGGCCTGTAGAACGGGGGCCAGAGGGGCGCCTACTGCCCGTGGGGCTGTCGAGAGACAAGTGTGCGGTAACTCACATTACTATCAACAACACTTCTAAGCTCGGAGACCTGTGGGCTTTCTTTCGCTGTTTTACGCATGAGACGTTCAATTGTGAAATGCCATGTGCTTCCCATGCATAGACTTAAAGCAAAATGTTAATTTCCCAGCAACTGCCACGCCACACTGGTGACACAAGCACCTGGGCCGCAGGCCGCCGAACCCAGAGGAGACTGTAACACGTGCCTCTGAGAACTCCGCACAAAGGATGCTTCATGTACACGAAGGTGCCAGACAAGAGCAGTATTTGTTTTTCTCACTACAAATAAGACACGGACTTCTGCACACACACACACACATCAGTGCCACACGATGCCTGCCTTACCCACTAATTAAAACAGCAAGCGAGAGACGAGCAGGAGGAGCAGTACCTGTTTCGGTTTTGCTGGCGAAGCCCGCGGCCTGTTTGATGGCTGCCGCTGTGAGCGCCAGTCCTCGGCTCCTCTTCAAGCCATGTTGCAGGACAGCTTCAAACTGGGCACACAGACAGGTCACCCTGCAAGAGACGCCACGACTTAGTGACCCACCCTGCTGAGGGAGCAGACACCACCCAGGCGGGCCCAGTGTTTCCGGGAAGTCAAGGGAGTGGCCAGGTGCAAGCCTCAGCAGCCAGGTAGACAGGAGACACCTGCACGGCCCCTCACCCGGGCCGCTCACAGCCCCCACCCCACCCCCCATCCCTGTCACAGCTCTCAGGCATGGCTAGTAGACGGGGCGTGCTCATCGGGCTGTGACAGCGCAGGACAATGCAGAAGCAACAGGGTAGGGGAAGTGGTGCCAGCCAGCAGGGGGGGAAAAGTCAATTTAAAAACAAATCAGTTTGATATGCGGAGAGGCTGGGTGTTAACTGAACCCAAATCACCGACTTCAACTCTAATTCATATCACATGTAGTCTGCGGAACACGATTATCTTTCAGAAATTCAATTCCCCAGCCTGCTGGCGCTGTGTAATTTCATGGCCTGTTACATACACTAAGAAAAAGGATGAATTGTGATTCCCGTGCTTTATTTAGTTATGAGATAACATTGTCAACTCAGATCCACAGTTGATGGGATTTTCAATTAAGTTACAATTACTGTGCACTTAATTGAATTTATTTCCCAATAACCAAAGAAATGAGCGGTTTGGGAACACATCTGCTCAGAGATGAGGTCCCAGCCACTACACTCGCATCTTAGTGACGGGCAGTGCTTCCGGGCCTCTGCTGGTCTGGGTATGTGCCCTCAGGGCCCCTTCCATTCATTCACACACGTTAAGAAATCCTCGGGGCTGGTACTGTGCCACAGTGGGTTAAGCCGCCATCTGCAGGGCCAGCATCCCATACAGGCTCCAGGTAGAGCCCCGGCTGCTCCATTTCCAATCCAGCTCCCTGCCAATGTGCCGGGGACAGCAGTGGAAGATGGCCCAAGTGCCTGGGCCCCTGCACCCACATGGGAGACCCAGATGAAGCTTCTGGCTTCAGCCTGGCCCAGCCCTGGCTACCACAGCCATTGGGAAGTAAACCAGTAGATGGAAGATTCTCTCTCTCTCTCATCCTGACTTTCAAATAAATGAAGGGAGGGAGGGAGGGAGGGAGGAATCCTCAGGATCCCCTGTGTGCCAAACACTGTTCTAGGCTCTGAGCGTACAACGGTGGGGCTGAGGCAGCCAAGTCCCCCCCTCGCAGGAGCTGGACAGTTTTCAGTGAGGGAGATACACAAACATGCTGACCAGGCTATTTGTTTGTTGATGTTGTTATTTTAAGATTTGTTTATTTGTTTATTTGAAAGTCATAGTTACTCAGAGAAAGGAGGAGACAGAGAGGGAGAGAGAGGTCTTCCATCTGCTGGTTCACTCCCCAAATGATTACAACAGCCGGGGCTGGGCCAGGCCAAAGCCAGGAGTCAGGAGCTTCTGGATCTCCCTTGTGGGTTCAGGGGACCAAGCATTTGGACCATCTTTTGCTGCTTTCCCAGGTGCATTAGCAGGGTGCTGGATTGGAGGCAGAGTGGCCAGATTTCAAACCAGCACCCATATGAGATGCCAGTGTCACAGGTGGTGGCTTTACCTACTATACCACAGTGCCAGCCCCTAACCAGGCCACTTCAAACTATGAAGAAAATAAAACAGGATAAGGTGGTGGGTGAGATGAGGCAGGGCCAGGATTACATTCTGTGGCCGAACGTTGGTAACCTTGGAGTTGTGACCTGAATATGACAAGATGCAGCAAGCTGTGTGGAATGGGCCAGTGCCAAGGCCCTGAGGCCACCACCATCTGACTCAACCTTGCCTAAGTGCAGGCATTTCCTGCTCCACCCACTCCCACACTTGGAGTTCTAGCACTGCAGGTGTTTATCACTCTGTGGGTGGCAAAACATTTTCATACCTAGCTCCTCCCATCAACATGATGATACAGACATGGAAGATAGTATCTGCATTTCAAACTTGGACGACACTAAGGCTTAAGGACATTAAAGAGACCTCCTGAAGATAGTACATCGTAAGCAGCAATAACAGGCTGGGCTTTGGGCCTGGCAGTCAGGATGCTGGTTCAGACCCTGCCCGTGCCCCATGTCAGAGTGCATGGGTTCCATTCCCAGCTGAGCTCCTCATTCCAGACTCGTGCCAATGCAGACCCTGCGAGGGAGCTGTGATGGCTCAAATGACTGCGTCCATGACACCCGTATGAGAGACGTAGACTGAATTCTCCAATCCCAGCTTCTGCCAGGCCCAGCTCGATTCCAGCCATTGTAGGCATCTGGGGAGTGAATGAGCAGAGAGGCTCTCGCTCTCTCGCTCGCTCGCTCTCTCTCTCTCTCTGCCTCTCAAATGAATATATAAAATGAATTAAAAAAAAAGCTCCAGAGGAGAGAGAGGAAAAGATAAGCAGCAATGTCTACACTCCAGTCTCTGCCTCCCCCGGGCTGAGCCAGGGTATTTCTAGCACACCCCATACCACACGCACAAACATTGAGATCCTAAGATAAAGTCCTCTGATTCCCACGCCCACTCTTCACTCAAGCCACTGGGCCCGTAGCAGACAACACTAACACCACACCAGCAAGCACACAGCACTCAGGCCTGGTCGCTGTCTTCCAGGCCCGGGACATCCTTGCCTTCTAAGCCACTGCTGCCGTGAAGTTTGTGGGAGGTCATGGACTTGAATGGGGCACCTAAAACTGACCCCACAGACCACATCAACAGAGTTTAATCACAGTAACTCAGCTTTGGCTGCTTGCTGCAGGCCCTGTAGCTGGTTAACTAATTTGGCTATAAACAGTCAACTAGTTAAGCTGTAAACAGTTTCCTGGCTCATTGACTAGGCTGTTGCCAATTAAGTTGTTTTCTGTGTTTAACTCCTATTCTCCTCTAAATGCTGTCAGATCAGCTTGTTGGTTGGAGTTCTTAAAACCTACTCCAGGGGCTGGCACCACGGCTCACTAGGCTAATCCTCCGCCTTGCGGCGCCGGCACACCGGGTTCTAGTCCTGGTCGAGGCGCCGGATTCTGTCCCGGTTGCCCCTCTTCCAGGCCAGCTCTCTGCTATGGCCCAAGTGCTTGGGCCCTGCACCCGCATGGGAGACCAGGAGAAGCACCTGGCTCCTGCCTTCCGATCAGCGCGGTGCGCCAGTTGCGGCAGCCACTGGAGGATGAACCAACGGCAAAGGAAGACCTTTCTGTCTCTCTCTCTCACTGTCCACTCTGCCTGTCAAAAAAAAAAAAAAAAAAAACCACCTACTCCAGGGACTGGCATTGTGGCACAGGTTAAGCCCTAGCCTACAACACTGGCATCCCTTAGTAGCACAAGTTTGAATCCTGGCTGTTCCATTTTGGATCAAACTCCTTGATAATGAGCCTGGGAAAGCAGCAGAAGGTGGCCCAAGTGCTTGGACCCCTGCCACCCATGTGGGAGACCCAGATGGAGTTCCAGGCTCCTGGCTTTGGCCTGGCCCAACCTCAACCACTGAAACCATTTGGGGAGTGAACAAGCAAATAGAACATTCTCTCTCTCTCTCTCTCTCTCTCTCTTCCCCCCTCTCAAAAAAAAAAAAAAAAAGTGCTCTGAGTGTGGGAACTGCCCAATTCACAAATCATTTTAGCTTTGCTTTACTTTGCTCAAATAAACTACTAACTTTAACTGGTCTAAGGATGCTTCAACGCTGCCAAGTGATCAAAGCTGGCCCTCCACAGAAGGAAGTCTACCTGGCATCCCTAACCTAACACTGCTCTTCAGTTTCCAACTCCTCTCTCATCCTTCCCCTGCTCCAGCACTGGGCCATACCTGGTAGATAGTATGTGCACAAGTCCTCTTCCAGAAGAGATTAACCTTGAATCATATGTCTCAGGACACCACACACACAAGGGAATAATCCTCATTGCTGGGCAGATGTCACTTTAAAAAATATTTATTTATTTATTTTTATAAATTATATTTATTTATTTATATTTATATAGTATCATATTTTTGAAAGGCAGAGTTACAGAGGCAGAGAGAGAGAGACAGAAGTCTTCCATTCACTGGTTCACTCCCCAAATGGCTGCAATAGCCAGAGCTGGGCCAGTCCAAAGCCAGGAGCCTGGAGCTTCTTCAGGGTCTCCCACATGGGTGCAGGGGCCCCAGGACTCGAGCCATCTTCTACTGCTTTCCCAGACCATATCAGAGAGCTGGATCGGAAGTGGAGCAGCCGAGACTCAAGCCAGCGCCTTGTGGGATCCTGGCACTGCAGGCAGTGGCTTTACCTGCTGCGCCACAGCGCCGGCCCCCAGATGTCACTCTTAAATATCAGATATGCATCTACTTGTGACTCTACACCTCTACCCAGGCATCTACTTGACAGCTTTCTGAAAGCTGGAACACCCTCCAAAACTACCTAAATTCCACAGTCGCTAATGGAGCCAGAACAGGGACCTGTCTTGTGTTTAGAGTTCCCATAATTAACCAAAGCCTCTACTTTTAAACAAATCGACTGCAAATACAATAAACTCTGTTGTATCTATCTAATAAACTCTGTCAGGTTGTTTGACTCCAAAACACACACCAGTAACTGCTCTGCCAGCTCTAGATTAAAGCCCAGCCCCCAAGGGGAACAGAATGCAGGGGAACAGCACGACCCAGTCCCCGAGGTGCTGGATTACATCGTCAGTACTACTTCCCAGAAGCACAGTCACAACACTGCAAAAAAAAAAAAAAAAAAAAAGGCCCAGATCGCTAGGACACCTGCCTTGCAGACAGCCACGGTACTTAGCACCCTCCCTGTGTCACCTTTCCGCCTCCCAGTCTGACCTGAGCTTGCATCCACTGGTTATTCCAGATTCATCTTGTGTCCCCTCCTCCAGGAAGCTTTCCCGAGTGCTTCCTACTTCCTGCTGCAGCACGTGTCCCTCTGTAAGTGATTTCACATCGGACTCTCTCGTCCTAGCTGTGAGCTGCCCCTGCCCTGACCTCGACGCCTGGCTTTCATGGAGAATGGTACCAAAAATGGTCCCTCCCGTGAGGGAACTCATGATGACGGACT